CTTTCCGGGTAAATTTCTTTTTGCAGTAAGAACATTCAAAACGTTTCTCTCCAGTATGAGTCCAGAAATGTCTTATCATATCTTGTTTCAAGTTAAATGTTTTTTTGCAGTAAGAACATTCAAAAGGTTTCTCTCCAGTATGAGTCCGTGAATGAATTATCATATTTCGTTTCCGGGTAAACTTCTTTTTGCAGTGAGAACATTCAAAAGGTTTCTCTCCAGTATGAGTCCGTGAATGAGTTATCATATGATGTTTACTGGTAAATTTCTTTTTGCAGTATGAACACTCAGAAAGATATCCTGTAGCATTTGTTACTAGATGACTATTCTTATCTTCAAAAATATTATTTGTTGCTTTATCATTTCTGTCATTTCCAAGCTCTTCTAAATGTGTAATGTCATTCTCATCTCCCTGCTGAAGTACATTGTCTATATTGTTGACAATGGTGTCTGAATAATTTGTTGCTTCACTGCTGTCTTCATCAAAGCTACTGTCATCTTCAAGAATTCTTAGCAATGCATCAATTTCTTCCATATCTCTGCTTCTGTCTTCTCTCCCTCCATCATCCAATCTATTATCTAGACCAGGTTCAATATCTACGTCATCTCTAGCTACTTCTAAAACAACTGGTTCTTGCAGTGGTGATGTTTCTGTGCTGTTGATAACATGGTCTGTATTGATGTAGATGGAAGTACAGCCATTATTACAGCCACTGTCATCTGTCTGTGTACCAATGGTGCAGACTTCTTTGTAGACAWCTGGTTCACCAATCATGACACAGTTCTCGTCTCTTGAACTCTAAAATGGTACAAGTAGTGATTTTTTTAACATMTATATAACTTATAATTAACGCATGTCTATCCGACTGCTGCTGAGGACTGATTCTGTACCCCGGGGGGGGCACTCGACCCCGTTTTAGATAGGTACGTGCCGCCAGCGGTCTAAATCCCTGACCCTGTTTAAGACACTAAAAAGTAAAAATCCATACCCTGTTCAAGACAAATCGGAAAAATAAGGAATAGCTATCTACGCCGCAACCATCAAAACTGCAATTATACTGACATCCATCAAAGACAATAAGAAGTTTTTGATAACACGTTAATTCTGGRACAGTGAAACGGTATTTCTACGGTGTTATGAAAATATTACCCTGTCCAAGACACACAAAAAAATTATATCGGTCTCTTTTATCTAAATTGTAGAGCCTGTTTAAGACAATTTCGGGTGAAATGTATACCCTGTTTAAGACAGCAAGGCCAAAAACCATACCCTGGCCAGCGGCACGTCCCCGTATAGCAAATATATGGGAGTACCCCCCCCGGGTTCTGTACCCATATGCTTCCCATTGGATTTAAAATAAATTCTTTAAAATTGAGAGTCAAAACTAATTCGTACATCGCCACTTACCTCACCAGTCGGCCACTTGTGCTCCCCTGTCACCTTGTTGTAGATAAACAAAGTCTGTCCTGACTTACACTTGTATTCTATCCAGTTTGTATCCATGACTTTTCAAGTCCTTGTATGAACAACGGAGTTCACTGGAAAAANTTTCTCAGTCCAGTTAGCCTCATATACTACGCAAATGAGTACACAGGATTGTGCAAAAACTAACCCTGTGTATCACARAAAATTTGATTGAAAGGTGTTTATTTTGTTATTTACTACTTGACCCAAAAATTAGCCAAAAAGTCCACGCTACGCGCCTGATGTCCCGGATGCACTCGCGYGTCAAATGAAAACAACTTTCCCGCTCATTTCTACTTCTCGCTTGTTCACTGAGTTTTTAAAGAAACTTTTGCTCGATGCAAATGTTGTGAAAAGATCGAAGAATTATCGTCAAATCTTCTAGCGACGAGAGCCAATCAGTTCCAATGATAAAAACGCAGAGTATAAGAAAATCAATAYCGATATGCCCTCTTTCTTTTCTTTTCCGACACCCTAAGAGATTGCAGAAAAAAGAAATTTCTAGAAACTCCAATCTGGCACCCCACAATAAAAAGTAAATACTGTATTATGGTGACAAACCAGTTCGGAGTATGTGAATTCAAATACTTTATTGCAAAAAACWTTCCAAAATGGAGCRCGAATCCAGCGCAGTCCCAAATCCTTTTTATCCAACTGCGTTGAACTGTTGCAGTACGTGAATGTCTACTATCGGTAGGTATTTCAATATATATAATAATCACAAGGAGTTGTGTATCTAACATTTTTCCAATCAAGGATGTACTTCATCTATAGGGAGCGAGAAAATTTATTTTTAGTTCTCAATACATTTCTTTGTATTTTTCACGCGCGTCACGCGCTGATGACCTCGGGATTTACAAAGAAATGTATGGGGAACTAAAAATGAATTTACTCGCTCTCTAGATCAAGTACGCCCTTTAAACTTGGCCAGTTAACTCATTTTTACAGTATCTAACGTTTGCAATTGATAACTCTTTCCGAATTTGAATTCAGTGGCAATTATTTGACATCGATTTCCTGGTCATTCCTTGTTATTTTACAACATTATTAGTATATGCCTACCGGACAAGATGGCGGCCAAAACCGTCACCTCATCTATCACAAGACTCGTAATAACTCTCACCACAGGAAGGTTTTTGCTCAAGAGTCTCAATGGTCCGTCAATGGTTTTTCAACGTAGAAAAGTCTACTTGCAATAAAAACACTTAAATACTTCTCTCAAGTGTGAATTCGCAGATTTTTATGATGTCCTTTCATTCCCAATTTCTTTTTACAGTAGAATACTCAAATGGATTTCCCAGTTTGATTTTGTTAAAATGTCTTTTCACAGTACATGCACGCATTAAAGAGTATTAAAAGGGCTACTCTACAGCATGTGTTTTTAAGTGATATGTTAAGGAATTCTTATGTACAAATTTCTTTTTGCAGTAAGAGCATTCAAAAGGTTTCTCTCCAGTATGAGTCCGTGAATGAATTATCATATTATGTTTCTTGATAAATTTCTTTTTGCAGTAAGAACATTCAAAAGGTTTCTCTCCAGTATGCGTCCGTGAATGATCTATCATATCTTGTTTCCGGGTAAATTTTTTTTTGCAGTAAGAACATTCAAACTATGGTTTCTCTCCAGTATGAGTCCTTGAATGACTTATCAGATGATGTTTCAGGGAAAATTTCTTTTTGGCAGTCCTCGGAATTTTCCTTGTCCAATTATTTCTTAATTGGACAGCATGGAGTCCTATTACATATAAGAATTTTAACGGATTTGAGTTTCAAATTAGTGTTGGAGTTTTTGAAGCCATTTAAAACACTCTCTCTCGTGTTTTAAACTACTTATACTTTGTAATTATGTTGATCTT